AAAGAAATTAATATTTTGCTATATTTGTTTCAGTTCTCTTTCTCTCTCTTTGAAAAAAAAGATAAAACAAAACTCCACATCCCCTCTCTTCCTATTTCTTTCCTCTCTAGAAGTATTCACTATCCTAAGGTTACTTATTACCCCCACGCACATGATTTCATAACATAATTATGGATCTACGACAACCACATAATATTGCTCAGTGTGTGTTTAAATATATATAAATTGTACTACATGCATATATGCTCTGGCATATATTTTTTCCACACAAAATTATTTTTTGAGATTGATCCATGTTGATAGATATCTATGTGGGGTATGTGTATATTTAGTTATTTTAAACTCCTTCATAATATTTCATTAGAAATAAATCAGTTTATTGACTTACCTTATCTACAAACAATTAGGTTATTTACACTCATGTTTTTAAAAAACAGAAACGCAATAAACACCTTTTTTTAATGTCTCTCTGGCACCATATGCAAGGCTTTCTCTAGGGTAGACACCTAGACACGGTGTCTAGGTGTTTTGTTGTAACTCACTAGATATTTCTGAATTGATCTCCAAAGTGGTGATACCAATGTACTTTCTCCAGCAATTTTAAAGTTCTCTATACCCTTATCATACTTAGTATTACGAGAACTTATTCATTTTTGCCAATATGAGGATTAAGTAAGGATTAATAGTTATTCTTAGATTATATTTTCCTAAGGTTCCTTCTGGTCATATAATTGTGGTCACCCATCAATGAATGCCAAGTGTTATCAAAATAACAAAATAAAAGATGGGAAAAAACCTTCTTCCACGGCTTACAATAAATTTATTTTTCCTCAAGAAATGTCCTACATGGCCAAAGCTGGCCCATGAACCCATACATCACTCCATAAAAAAAGGAATGGGGACAGGGCCCTAGTTCTGTATTTATTTTCTTGTATTCATAATCCAATGTTACTCGCAAAGCAAACTGCCCAATTGTCAAGCCAAAGCAAACACGCTGGATTTTGCCAGGCAAAATGCCTGTGGAGAAATGAGTCAATTCATACAAAATTCAAAACTGTCTTTGGTCAGGGACATTTTCATAAAAATCTGTGGGTGGGTAAAAGTTTTGCAAAATTCCTTTTTGCTATTGGATAAAATGCATCCAGGAAAAATAAGTAAACTTTAAGTGGCAACCCACATTCCCCCTAATTCCCTTATTAACACTCCCTAACCTCCCAGCACAACTGCTTTCAATTGTGCTCGAAAGCAAATTATCAGTGTTTCTGATTCTGGCAGCAGAACCCTGGTCCCCTGTTCACTCTGCCCCAAGCAGACAGACTTTGTCATGAGAGGCACTAACAGACCGAGCGTGCCTGAGCTCATTCAGAACACACCTTACTAGGAACACTACCCAGGCGTTGCACACTCTTCAACTTAATGGCAGAAAGACCTATGGTAAAAACATTCTTAGCGTGCGCTCTGTTGGAACCATTACTATGGATACTGTTAGGGATGGTTAGTGTACTTGTATGGTTTTGGGTTACACTTCATGTTGTCCCTTTAGGAACATGAAACAGGCGGTTGGGAAAAAGACAAATTCAGAGACTCCATGACTTGTTCTAACTTGAGAATCTGGAAAGTTATTAGCACCTCAGAAAAACTTTCTAGAATTCCACAGTTACACCTGGGAAGGCTCAAATGTTTTGATAATTCCAGAGATTTACTAATAAGGCTGGGGTTGGTCGAAGCTCAGGGAGGTCAAAAGAGAATGATCTGGCACCTCGAAATTGCTTTCCTTAACAGACAGCAGTAATGGACTCTGGTATATTTTAAATGTACTATTGCCATATCCTGGTTTCTGATTTAGCTGAGGTCTGCCTGTCTGCCTGCCGAGGGCTTAGCTTCTCAAGGCCTTTGCCATTGGCTAGAAATGTCTGTGCAATTGAGGCCAGGCCTGGAAAGAGAACAGCTGTTGGACTTTCCACGGAAGCAGTAAAGAATGAGATCTACAGAAGGGTGGGGTCGTTTGGGTGGGAAAAGGAAAAGAACGTATTCTCTTCTTCCAGTAAGTTAACCAAAGAATAAATTAGCAACCCTCCCTCAGTTCTGCCACCTAGAATCCCAAGTGATCTGAATTCTAGGGTTCTGGGTAAGGATGAGGGGTCATGGTCAGAGATTCTGAGAACGGAGTCTCTCAGGCATGAAATGGAATTTGGCACAAGGAAGGAGACCAGTGGCAGCCTCTTACTGTAAGCAAGCTGTCACTGACCAGCCCTTTCACACACCCCTTTTACCATGACTTCCAGAAGCTTTGTGCTGTCTGTAGTTATGGTCACCAAACACAACGGGGTCATCATTTCTTTCTTGGGTCAATAAGCTAAGCAAGTAAAAATGATGACTAACTCTAACTATCATACACAGAAAATTACTAGCAATTACACGTAAAACAAAAAATGGTCTGGGTCTTATCATTCAAAATGCTCCTAGCCTTTGCAGCACATAACACACAGCCACAAAAACCCAAAGATCACTTCCCATCTCCAAAAGAAGAATGTGGCCATGTTACCTGGCAAGCACCCTGAGCTTCAAATCAACTACCATCAGATTTTAAAACAGTGAGAGATGAAACATTTTAGTTGTACAGTTCTGTATGTCTGGATTCCAAGACTATAAACATCGGTTTTGCAAAAGGCAGGAAAATGCATTTTTTCCAGGATGTATTCACTTTGAGAACACTGTCTTCTATCAGTGGACTACAACTTAAGAGGACTGTTAAATTTTCACAGCAAAATCAATTGCTGCCAGTTGGCTATAGCCCTATAAACCAAGCAGTTGATATGTAGCAAAAACATAACAGCTTTCAGAAGACACAATGCTCATGATATGTATGTTTCATAAGAAAATGGATGTCTTGCAGCTAAAAATATAGAGTTTCAGAACTAGAATTCCAGCATTAGTCAGCTAAGAAACCCTGTTTTATATAAATATTTGCATTGTAACATGTGTAAATAAATGCTTTGTGGTCCTAGATTTGATATGCTATTAAATTAGAAATCTGAATTTTGTAAAGATTCCATCTAGAAGTGGGGAATGGACAGATTAGGAGAGAGAAATCACCTCCCATACCCATGCTGAACAATACAATGAGAAGCTATATTCAGAGGCCCGCAAACATTCACCTTTTAGCTTATTATTTCACTGAACTATTTCTATTTTTAAAATTCATCATGCACTTTAGCAAAAGTCTACTTCATAAAGTTATATGTCTTTGCAAAGTCTGGGAACAGTAGAAAAATGGGGAAATCCTTGCACACAAATTAATTTTGCAATGCAAAAAATATTTTTCTGGATAATTCAAGCCTTTATGTTTATTTCAGTAAAGCCAAATCCAGTAAACTATTTTCAGCCAGGATTAGTCAGAACTAAAAGGTTGGACTGTTTTCCTTCAGAGACTGAATGTCTTTCCTGCCTGCAACAGGCCTGTGTGTTCCAAACAGAGTAAATGGAATTGCCTTCAATTGCTTGTCTCTTTCTGGCATTTTTAATGCAGAACCCTAGTGACAGAGTAAGGTTTTGCCACCTGGAATGTAATTATTCTTTTCACTCATATAACCTGGCATTCTCATTCTCAAAATGTATCAGCTTCAGGTTTTCCTTAAGAAAAATCACAATGTGGGGCATAATGTAACCACAAGAAATGCAATTCCATTCCACCAGAATTTCTTAAAACGCTTTCAAAAATACCCACTGAGCAATGAAAAAGTGCTTCTAATACTTACAGTACTGCTATCACCTGTTTGATTTGCTTTTACATGAATCAGACAACTTAGTCAATCTACAATCAAACATAAACATGGCCCAGATTCTTTATCATCATGACATACTGTAGAAAGAAGGGACTCTGGCTGGGTGGAAATAGCCCAAATAAGTTTCTTCTTAAATTGATTTATATATTTCACATATTCAGTGACCTGCACCATACTCCATATCCAGGGAACACACGGAAATCTCAGATTTGAACTCCAAAAGAAATATTCCTGTCTATCTAAACTAATATAAAACATATGCTCTTCTTTTTCCAAGAGTTAAGTGAGCTGAGATTGTGCAAAGCCATCCTGCGATCCCAAGGGTGATGCCCTGCTTATAAACCCTGAGGGTTTCTGTGAGGTGTGAAATTGTTGTGAAATCATTTAAGAATCATATTATTCAAAAACAGTAAATTTTGCCAAGAAACAGAGAGAGCTCCAGGATGGATGTTGTGAAAGGGGGAGGCAGGGGAGAAAGAGATATCAGGTCCACTTCTCTCAACACCAGAGATATATTCCCTTCCCCTTGCTTGCTCCTTACACCTCTGCACAAAATTCCCTCTTCTTAAAATTAGGTGAGATCCTATGCTATTCTGCTTCTGTGATATCCCTTGGGTATTTTAGTGGTGGCTATAAATCATTAACTAGTCTCGCAACCGTGGAAGGTACAGTGTGCAGGCATGTGGGTGCATGCAGCAACACTTTTACTACCCAAGTTGCTAAGTGGTGAGTTCCTTTCCAAATTTCAAAACCACCCCTCTCCCACCCCAATTCTTGCCCAGTTATTGGAAGGAAGGAAAAAAAAATCACTGAATATTTGCCTTGGAAAAGAGCTAAAGCTTGCTGGTGGGGTGGGGTGTGTTCTTCTGCTCTTGAACATCCATGCACATTAAGGAAACTCCAAGTGTGGCTGGCATCTCTTTTCCAAGATTGTTAGTGTGACAGATTGACCTCCCCACCTGGGAAGGCTCATGTCCCTTTGCAGAAGAGAATCTAGAAATAGAAAGCCACTCATCATTAAAGAAACCTTCCCCTTCCTCAAAAGAGGAGTCCCATCTCCGTGGACACCTAGACCACCACACATCCAAACTGCGCAAAAGAAGAAACTGTCCCCTGACCCACTGGCCGAGTTTGGGGGAAAAAAAACCAAACACGCATGAAAAAAAGCAGGCCGGGCCTTCAAGGCGGGTGACCCTTTGGGCTTCAGAGACTCACCGTGCACTTGTTGGGCTTCTCGCCGGAGTGGACTCGCATGTGGATGAGCAGTTTATAGCGGGCGTTGAAGGGCTTGTACCTGCGCGGACACCCGGCCCAGAAGCAGGTGAAGTCTTCCCCTTTGCGCTGGTCGATGTGGACCTTCTCGATGTGCCGCACCAGTTCCTCCTGCTGGTCGTACAGGGCGCTGCAGTCTATCCAGCGGCAGCAGTGCTTGCCCCCGGCGTCTTCCCCGTCGCCGTCGTCGTTCAGGGCGGCCTGCGGCAGGGCCAGCGGCTGGGCGTGCGGCGGCGGCACGAGCTCGGGGTGGTGGAGGTGCGGGTGCGCGTGGTAGGGCGGCGGGGGGCCCTGGGGCGGCGGCAGGGGCGGGAGCGCGGGCGCGGGGGCCAGGTCCAGGGCAACGCCCGGGAAGTCCTCCAGGCGCTCGGTCTTGAGCAGGCCGGCGGCGGGCTGCTGCTGCTGCTGCTGCTGGCCGTCGGGGCCCGGCAGGCCGTGCTGCACCACCATGTTGTTGACCAGGCCGGGCTGCAGGCCGCCGTGCTCCAGCTGCTGCATGCGCTCGTACTCCAGCGCGCCCGCCTCGCCGTAGGCCAGGCCGCCGCCGCCGGCCACCGCCAGCACGCCCTTCTGGCCGCCGGGCACCGGGCACGGCTGCGGGATGCAGCTGCCGCGCACCCCCAGGAAGTGCCCGTAGACCTCCGGCTGCGGGGACATGTTGGCCGGGGAGGCCCTCGACCCGTTGATGTAGGCCACCAGGGAGGTGGGCGACGTGCGGATGATGGTGTTGAAGTCTATGCCGATGCCATCCGACAGCGGGGACAGGGACAGGGCTCTCTTCTTAGAGCGGGCCGAGTGGGACCGGGCGGAGGAGTGCCGAGGACTAGCGTAAGGAGAGTGGCTATTTTCCATGCCAAAAAGGTAGGGTGGCAATGAGTTAGAGACACTGTTGCTGGGCGCGGGGGTCCCAGGAGGAAGGCTGAGGAGGTCGCCTAGATCGATGCCATTCTGAGAGCCGTGGCTGGAGGAAAGCGAAGGGAGCGCCCTGTAGCCGTGAGACCACTCCTGCTTCACACTCAAGGCCGACTGGCTTTCCGTGAGACTCAAAGTCGTGGACGCCAAAGACTCACGTGAAATCAGGGACCTAAAACAGCAGCCAGAAAGGAAGAAAAAGAAAAAGGAAAAAAAAAAAAAGATAAACATTTTAGCAGGATATGGATTGCTTAAGAGCTAAAAGAACATTGCATTGACAATCCCATAAGTATTTCCCCTAATTACATTCTCTGCTAAACACACATTCTTGGGCTAAGATAAAATCCAAGGCTTTTAGTTCCAGGTAAATAACATTTTACCAAGAAGAACAATAAAACCGAATGCTCACTGAAATAATATAACAAAAGATCTATTGTTATAAATAATCTTAATACTTTAATAATAAGTAGTCCTTCCTTTATTTTTAAATAACTTTGTTAATGGAGGGGAGAAATTAGAGCCTTGGGAGAAATTATTGATACTTGTCATGGCAAACCAAATAAGTGTTAAGCACCTACTGTGTGCAGCATGCTCTGATAGGAATTGCAGGGAATACAAGTCTAAACAGAGTCCCAGCCTTCAATTTGGGAAGGTAATAAATATATAAACTCATGCTTGATTTGAAAAAAAGTAAATCCTCAAAGTCAAAGGGTAATCCAGGGTCTTTTTTGTTTTTGTTTTTTTTTCTTTGAGACAGAGCCTCGCTTTGTTGCCCAGGCTAGAGTGAGTGCCTTAACGTCAGCCTAGCTCACGGCAACCTCCTAACTCCTGGGCTCAAGAAATCCTGCTGCCTCAGCCTCCCAAGTAGCTGGGACTACAGGCATGCACCACCATGCACGGCTAATTTTCTCTATATATATATTAGTTGGCCAATTAATTTCTTTCTATTTATAGTAGAGACGGGTCTCACTCTTGCTCGGGCTAGTTTCGAACTCCTGACCTCGAGCAATCCACCCACCTCGGCCTCCCAGAGTGCTAGGATTACAGGCGTTAGCCACTGCACCTGGCCCCAGGGTCTTAATAATAATTTCACAACTTCGTTTCACTGATATTAAGGAATTATTATGATTTTTTTAAAAGATAGTATTCACACTTTCAGAATTCAGTTGTCACATCAAATCATTCCAGGAAATGAAAAAATATATAAAATACAGCTATAATGTGTAAGGGAGTAACAAACTGATAATAAGTCGTATTATCAAGTCAATTATGCATTGGGGCTATGCAGGGTTTAATCGCACTTGCTGGCTAGCCTGTATTTTTATGAGCTCTTGTCCTTACATCAGAGCAACTGTGGGCCAAGAGCAGATCGTTCACTTTCAGTAGCTCACTTTTGCAACAATTCCTCCCCTGTTCTTCTTACACCCCTTACAAAAGATGTGCTATGTCTTGATATATTATTACATATCAAAATGGTTCATAATGTAGCTCTGGCCACTTTAAAATTCACTTTGCTTTACTATGACATTGTTGTCTTAAAAATGACTGAGAAGATAAGCTATGTCCCTTGGATGGAAAATTCGTCACAAAGCAACGAGACATAACACAGTATTCCCTGACTCGGTCATGGTATATATCAGAAAAACCTGGTTTATTTATATGCACTTGCATTGGCTTTCTATCACGATCTTTTTTCTGACAAAAAAATTAATCACAACAAAATGTTATAATAAAATGTGAGTCTTCTCAACATGAACACATTGACTATTTTCGGCTGTTAAACATCAACCTGTTGCAAAGGAACTGAGGGAAAAGAAGCATTTTCATCCCACCTGTTCCTCTTACTACATGTCACAAAATGGAAGCCACAAACACCATTTCCTACAAGCATAAGATATTAGCAAGAAAACATTTCAGCTCTGAAATGCACAGTATAAGGTGGTGATAGCATCATGATGGACATGATACTACCATTGAGTGAATTAATATTCACCAGTGACAAACACAGCAGGAATTTATGTCCAGTTGCCCTTGACATGGATTTTTTTTTTCTTGGTCCACATCCTTACATTCAGGCTGAAGTCTTTTTTGCAAGCCCCAAAGTGGTTTCAGAACCATCTGATTTTTTAATTTCCCAGGGACACTTTTCAATTATTTCCCAGCACACTTGCAGTATGTCTCTTCCTGCAGAGCTCAGCTGAAGGCTCCTGGTGATTGGATGTCCAGGGCCCTTTGGTCTCTTCCCCAGCAAGATTCAGGAATTGCTTTCAGACCTAAACTAAATCAGTAGTCATGTCATATCTGAGACAGAGACAACTGACTTGACTTTACACCCTGAGGTTGAGAAACTTCATAGAACATAAAGAACCAGAGCTTTACCCAGAGCTATGTGGCCAAGTGAATGCACATTCTCAGGCAGTACATTTGCCTGTCAGTCATACTGGAATATTTCAGATTTTAAAGCAGTGACTAACAGAAAAAGTATTTTATCCACCTGTATATACTTGGCATATAAAATTACACTATTTGTTTTGGGGGCAGTCTATAAGTAAGATGTGTTCATTTGTTCCATTGTTGAAAGATGATTCTCATTTCTCTCAAATGATAACTAACTACGGCTCAATTTAAATCTGACCATAACCCTGTTCAGGTATATTCCGTAACTCCCTGGACATCTCAGTTTTCTAAGACAGTTATCATATATTTTTCAGAAAAGAAATTCTATACTCTCTTCATTAAAACAATAACATGAACAGAGAACTCTCTCTTCTATCTTGAACACCTAATAAGAACAAAACTCCCCAAAATGACCTTTGCCTAGTAGCCTGTCTCCCTCCTGTGCAATTACCTGGATCTTTTAATGTTTTAAAGTTCTAATCCATGAAATCTCTCCCCAATACACTAGGCTGTCAGTACGAGTTCTCTTTCCAAAGAAGTTATATACTGTCTGCATCGTGTCTTAAAGGTAGCTAACCTCAGAGATCCGTGGGTGTTATATTCTTCAATAAAATGCAAAGCCTTTTAAACAGAAGGGATCATTTTTATCTCCCCAATACCTACCAGAATGTTAGATACATACCAAGTACTCAAAAAATTGTTGATTAAGAAAGTGAATAAATAATGTATTGATAACTAAACATTATATATAGCTTACAAAGCACTTTCCCTATATGTTATTTCATTTGATGCAGCCTGTCAGGTAAGTAAACTGGATTTTTCTAAATTTCTATTTTATAAAGAATTCAAAACTGAGGTTCTATGTGAAATTTCTCCTGTGTGACACACATACACACACACACAAACACACAAAAGGATCAAAGTCCTTATAGAAATATGAATAAAGTTACATTTGCTAGGCAGTGACCTAGCTGGATCGCATACATTCTTTATTGTTTTCTTTATATTACACCCCACATGTGGTACACAATCCTCTGCTTGATTGAAAGACCTGATATAACAGGCTTAAAGTCACACAAGTTACGATTGAACCCAAATTTTCTGTTCTTTCTGTAACAAAATGCTGAATAAATGTGAAGACTTCTAGAGGATTCTCGCGTGTAACCCTTGTGCTACACACATCAGTCCCATAGGGAAGAAAGTGACAAAGCGCTGTACCACCATAGAGAGCAATCTCCATTTGCATATGTTCATCTGATCCTGAGGATATTATTTCTGGAGACTGGTTAGTTTGGAGATACAATGTAAAAGGAAAGGAGGTATATTTCAAACAAAATAAAACCAGCATGAAAAACTCAGAAACCAGCAGCAAAAAGATTAGAGTGGCTGTTAAAGCAAGAACTCAGTAACTTTCATGGGGTCATAAAGAGGCATCATGATGACCAACTTGGATTGCTTGGTTCCATGCCTAGCCCCAAAGAAATTCTAACTTACAGATCACATGGAATTCTTAAAACTAATGCTCAAGAGAATATATATGAAAATATATATGTATATATTTTCCCTATATATATAGATCATGGAAAAGAAGACCAGTCCTAGTCTATCTAGAAGTTCTTATCTATGTGCCCTGGCAAATCCCTCAAAAGAATCAGCACTGCATCTGTAGACAGAATGGTTTAATAAAATGTTAGAATTTACAGAGAGCCCATAGTCCCTCCTCAGCGTCCTTAGCTTTCTCTAACATCTGTGGACATATTCCCAACCAAAAGGAAATCACCTCCAAGAATTTTTGGAGGTGATTTCCTTATTTTTTTTAAAAAATAAAAAGCTAAATGTAATGCCTTTTTGGATCTGGAATGACATTATTAGGTGATGGCTGAAGTTTGTGACTAACAAGCTAAGTGACAATGGACAAAGCACTTAGACTTTCTATGTCTTGGGGTTGATTATGTCTTAAACAGGAATAATAATTACAGGTAGTTTATGAATATTCAATCACAAAATGCAGAATCACGATGCATGTAAAAACTCTAGGAAAGCTAAATATTAACATATATATAAAACTCATGTGAGTAGCACTCAATCTCTTCTATTGCTCAACCTTTGCTAGCTTGGTGTATGAAACTACCATATAAGATAATCATATCAGCACTTCAGCCTTGTCATTTTAGGGGAAATACATATAACAGCCTCTGTATTACAGGTTTGGCAATGCCTAAAACGAGAATAGCTCCTGCATCCTCGAGGTGGTAAGGTATAGTATGCATTTATCATTTGGGAGAGGTAGTCAGAAATGGTTGGAAAATTAATCAAGGCATTAGGGCATGATTCTCATCATTGGATTAAACGGAACCCAACAAAGCTAAGGAAAAAAGTGCTTTTTCCAAGATGAGCACCCCAAAAAATATTCCCAAAGGAGATCGAAGGAAAAATCTACAAACATCCAATAAAGCTATGAAAACTATTCAGTATTATCAATAATTAAATAATACTAATTAAGATAAAATAACATTATACATATCAAATGGGCAAAAGTTATAAAAATAATAATACATAATGATGGATAAGGTCTGAGAAAATCGACACTCTCTCAGAGTGTTGGTGAGTTGTCAGGTCTTTATAAATTGGCAGATCTTTTCTGTAGTGCATTTTGAGAATATGTACAAAAATCCTCTCAAAATTGTACACTTCTTTTAACCTAAGAAATTTTACTTTTAAGAATTTATTCTAATAATCAGAGTTGTGCAACAATAAATTTCCAAGACCCAAAAAAGCATTATTTATAATATTGAAATAAAGGGAAACAACTAAGTGCCCAGTAATAAAAAACTGATTTAAAAATTACAGTTGTATTTATCTTCTTTCTTTGTAAAACGGAATCTTGGGCAGGAAGATGTCATTATATGATGCCAAAGAAGACTTTAATTACAAAAGTTTATAATATATTAACTGGGAAAAAGTGATTATAAAACTATGCATATTATTAGATCAATTTAGTGGAAAGGAAAGCCTATGTTTATGATGTATGTGTTGCCATATAACTGGAAAGATGTATATCAAAACGCCATCCATGGTTGTCTCTAGGTGATAGAATTCAGGATGGCTATTATTTACTGCCTAGTGCTTTTCATATTTTCCACATTTCTACAATGAATAAGAATTACATAATCAGACAAAAACAGTATATTTTACAGCTTTACATCGGGCAAACATCTCTCAGATTGAACAGTTCATAACTCCGGCACCCACCCACCCCCAACACGCCCCAATATATAAAACACTAAGCCGATGATTTTCTCTCCATCTTCCCTTTACCTCTAGACAGTAAAATATCTTCACATTAAACTTTCACCTCTTATTCTTTCTCTCCTCTGATGAAACACAAAAATCAATTTGAGGATCACAAATAAATGCGACCTTTCCAAATTGCTAAAAGTAGGTTTCATGCTTCACCAAGCCACTTTCCCTATCCTATTTCTTTGCTCATCCTAGAAAAAAAAAAAAATTCCTATAGAAGGATTCACAGAATACATAGTCAAAAACACTTGTCAGTGCATTGCTAAGGTGTTGTCTTTTAAGGACATAAAATTATGCTAAGGAATCAGATATGCCAAAAAACACTGAGATAATGACTCCTCTCTGGCCAGCCCATGAAAGGGACTGCATAAGGTACATGGCTTGAGCAGTCTGTGCCCTGCCTACCATCAATTTCTCCGTTAATTATGACTTCTGCCTTCAAGGCATGGGCTGGACTTGCCACAGACAGGAAGCTGAAGGCTTGCCAATGACACCCACCCCATGAGCATAGTTAATTTTACATGCAGCACCCAGCAAGTCTGAGGAATCCCTTAAGGCATAATCATCAATGGGAAAATGACAGCAGCTTCCAGTCACAAAAAGTCTCAGGTGAAAAACAAGTTTCTACCTCATGAAAAAAATTGGCATAAATAAATGATTCAGGAACTATGATTTCAGAGTCTCAAATAGCAGCTAGGACAACAGCATAGAGACACAAGAGGGGAAAAGAGGGTAGGAGGAAGAGAAGGAGGAAGGAAAAGAAGAAGAAACGGTATCCTCAAACTGCAAGGCACTGTATAGCAGGTTACTGCCCCAAAGAAGAGGAAGCAGAGGCTCGGAGTAAAATTCCTTTGCAAGATCACAGTCCCAGCAGAACCCAGACTAAAAGACAGAAACTTTGGATTGTGTTTTTCCAAGAAGATTACTTCTAAAAGATAATTTATTTCAAACGTAGAAATATTAAACATTGCACATTATTTTGGTTTTATGACCCCTCTAATCCAATAACCTTGAAAGAGATAAATATTTGTCTGAGGGGACAATTTCCATTTTCTCTTCCATTCTCTCCCATGGAGATGGAAACATGGCATTTATGGTACTTACTTATTCTGGTACCTAATCAGACATCGTGTTGAAATGTTATGTAACACACACATGAAAGTATGTCTTCTCAGACAGGTCAGAAAGTCTTGAAATTCATGATTTCTATCTTTACTCTCTCTACTATCTACCTAAACTTAGACTATTATATTATGCAGACAGTAAGTATTTAATAAATATTTGCATCAATGGGTAGATGGGTGGATGGACAGACATGCAAACAGATTGTGGAGCAGCCTGGAAACTCTGCAATATAAACATGGAAAATCTAGCAGTTAAGATAGATGTGCATGGAACATCTGAATTTGCTAGCCCACAATGTGGTCTGCTCCACCAGAAATTGACAAATTTACACATGGGGCTTCAGTCACTGAGGCCCAAAAATCTCAAATTGGACATTCATTTCACTCACACCACAGACAGCAGGTGTTAAACCATTCTTCCCAATTAAGATGATATTGTGGCACATACTTAGTTTTCAGACACATTCCCCTACAAAGCTAAAACTGAAAGAGTTGTGTGAGTTTTCGTGTGTGTGTGTGTGTGTGTGTGTGTGTGTGTGTGTGTTCAGGAAGAATAAGGAAAACACCTGTGGAGTGTGATTATACCATAAAGAAGGGGAAAAAAAAAGTTAACTTGAGACCTGGTATCTGAAGGAGGTATATTCAGGTTGGCTGCATTCATTGCCCTCTGTAAGCTAGGACTGATCTGGTTGCATGCTGTAGAGACCTGGCTTGCTGGAGGTGAAATGGGTCCCAGTCGCTGAACCATCATGGGACTGCTGGTGACCACTAGATTGTTGCAGCTGCCTTTTCCAATGGACTTGCACTGAGGCCCAAAGCCAAGAGCCCCTAAAAACAAATGAATCATGTTAGCTTTCATGTCCCTTATATCACAAATCAGTAAATACAGACATGTGCACGATTATATCAGGACCCATCTTTAGAGACTGTCCTTAGATCATTTCTTTATTTTGTTTAATGTTGGTGATATTAAAAAGCTTTCTCTAATTTCAATGAAAAAGCCATAGTGCTACAATAGAAATCCTTGCATAATCATCACTCATACAAAATGTGCTTAAATTATACTTCTTCTAGTAGAAGTGTACAGTTATATTAAAAATCATACTTTATAATATCTTCATCTAAAAGGTTAATGTAGTAAGTAGACGGGATTACCTGTATCATACCAGGTTTCTTTTTTTTTTCTAGAATAGCTAATATCTTGAATCATCCAACAAGGAAAGGTGAAAAAAACCTGTTTAACTGGTTTACTTCATTCTCAATCTGGACTTCCAAAAAGCCTCTGTAAAAGGATAGAGTCTGGCTGTCTCTGTGCACTCTTGAATTTTCCTCTTCATCCCAACACATTATCATTGGACATATACCCAATTCTTTTAAAAGTCAGGATGATAGACTCATAAACAAAACACTCATTTGAAAAATAGCATGGTAACCACATTGGACATAGATTTTACATTCTCATTAGTAACAATCTTTCAATGTAGTAAAATTTGGTACATACCCAAATGGGAAGGGAAAAAAAGGAACCCACAAGAATCTGTGTTGTTATGGAAAAGAGAAAAAAAGCAAAGAGTTTGAGAAAGGCAAATACTGCCATGACTCATTTATAAAAATAACAATAATAATAGCTGAATCATTCGAGACATTCTTTTTACATGGATGCACTTTTTCAGACATTTTTTGCCAGCTACCTGGTCAAGTCTCAGTAACTACACACTCTGTTCCCATTTCTAGCAAACAAAAACAAATATGATCTCAGTTTTTAATAAGTTATGCTTTAAAATTTTCTCGCCAAATTTCCCATCTTTTTCATTGATATATTTGGGATCAAAGTAGGAGGAAGAGTGTCACTTTAACTTTCCTTAGCCCCAGGGAGCATGATTTCCTATTCTGTTTTCTAAAAATTAAATCAATAGCCAAAAAGAGCCTTTACTTGTCATCTTTTGTAATATTCTCTTCCAAGAGCCCCCAAAACCAAAGGACAAACAAGACCCACATTCCCATCACTGCAGCCACGTCTCAAAAATGCTGAGAGTCACAGCATCATTAGCTGGCAGGAACCCCGGTCTGGTCCAGCCTTCTGGGAAACTAAAATCCAAGTGGTAATTGACTTGCCCAAGGTTACAAAGGGATTTAATGACAGAGCAGAAACTGATTGTACTGGAGTATATTTTCTGACACCTATGTGCCTAAGTTTAGGCTCTAGTATGCTTGGTTTAGTCTTTGGATACTTGGTAAGATCATTAGCACCAACAGAAATTTCTTTGATTTTCTTTCCTAGATGTGCAAACCAGGACCTACACTTTATCCCTCCCATTGCAGTTTATATTTGATCCATTTCCTTGCCCCTTGAAAAATCAGTCAGTTATAGATATTCTGTTTTCAAAACTCATAAAAGTATTGTACCATCAAGGCTTCATCTTGACATCAAGAGTGGTGGGTAATTTTTATGTGATGCATCATAAATTTAATATCTTTATAAAGCCCAGTAAGCTCACACATGTGATTTTCGAACTACCTTTTTACCTTGGAAAAAGGCAATGTGATAGTTCATAGCCTTGTCCCATATATAAGACACCTGAATTCTCTCCCCAGGTTCCATTGCTATCAGCGATTAAAGTATTCTGTCAAATTGAATGTCACATATTTATCTAAGGAACTCAACCATTTCATGCCTGTTTCCTTTTCAATAAAAAGGTATTAATACCTATCTGCCCCTAAAACAGACATAGCAGCTGGAACAGCACCCAAGAAATACTACCTGATGGCAAAGTATATTAATACCTTATCTCATCAAATCTAAAATGCCATATATTGTAAGGCATACCATTATTCTAGGTTCCAGTAAGAATATTAACTGCCAATCAAACTAGTGCTCGGTGTCCAGATTTCAGAGATGTTGTGATGTGGCAATATGCACACCTTAGAATCAATAAGACCAATAAGACCGCTGAAACATTTAGTTTAACCCTTGTCTTGCTCATGCTCTTTTCTCTGCCTGGAATACCCAGACCCTAACTTTCCACCAAGTGAGCTCTTGTGCATCTCTGAGGTCTCCTCCTCTGTGACCTACCTCCCCCACTGCCCACTGGGCAGATCTGACTGGTGTTTCCTTTCATTCTTCCATGTGTCTCTTACTAAATTATCTACCTAAGCACCTGTAACACTTCAGGGAACTGAACCGCTTACATGCCTGCCATCCTTTCAATTTTATACTTTATGCTTTTTAAAAACAAAGCCCTTGTTCGAGCATCTGTGCTTCCTTAGCACCTAGCCCAGGGCCTGGTGTACAGTACATAATAAACTCTGTCTGGGGAAGTTGGAATGAATGAATGAAAATAAAAGATAGTTGTAAGTGAATATTAAAGACTGGCAAATTATTTCCACTGAAATCCTTCTGGATGTCTTTTTTGAAACAGTACTATGAAAAAAAAAAAAAAAAAAAAAAAACCTCAAGTCAATCCTTTGATGCTTTTCCACAGTATTGCCAAGCCAGGTATTCTCACAGTATTGCTAAGCTGCACAGGTCTGCCAAACCAGTGGGAATAGTAATTATAAATTCATCTTTCTGGGCCAGAATTCTACACTGGTCTTCAAGGCTGCCTGTATAACCCTCTACCCTGGATTTGTACATTCACATTATTTTCTTGCTCTGTAATAAAGAAACATCAATCCTTCTCTTCCCAACATCTTCATCGATTTTCACTATACCACCTCCTACTTCCAAATTCACTGGTCAACTTTAACCTCACCTAACCACAGGGGAGGGACAGTTTCTGACAGTATTACAAATGGTATTCTTGAAGCATGAGAAGGAACGGTGAGTTTCTTGGGAACATGTAAATGTTTGTGGTGCAGCTATGAGAATGTTCTCAAAAATGTTCTCACATTTGTCTCACACGTGAAGGCAAACAAATTTGACCAAGAACCACTGCGTTCACTGCAGCCATCTTACTCTAATTTTTTCCATAACGTCAGACATAATGAACACCTAGACCTCCAGACTACTCAGAATCGTGCAGAGCCTCTGAGTGTGGGCTCTGGAGACAGTCTCTCTTGGATCTGCTAGTTGTATGATTCAGGCAAATTACTTAACATTTGAGTGCCTATGTCTGTGTCTTCTCATCTGCAAAACAGGAATCAAATTAACAACATCTCATAAGGTTGTTGTGCATCTAGTATTAACTACACATAGAGGACTCAGCACACTGTCTGGCACATAGTAGGTGCTCAACAGACGTTAGCGGCTATTGTTGTTGTTATTGTTGTTAAGATTGTTACATGCTTGTCATTGCTTTTATGCTCCATTCTCAAGTTTCTTGAAGCAAAAAGAAAACGGTCCTTTCTAATTCCTCGCACAAAACATGATAGTAAATGAGGCTGTTTAATTCTCTACCCATTTTCCAATGTTCTTTCTGCTTTGAGCCTACAGCCAATTTTTTTAAAAAACCAGGTGTCATCGCAGATAGAAGAAAAGTTTTCAATTGGCCAGGTTTGAATGTTCCTTGGCTTGTCGTTCCTGAAAACAAACCGTACAACTTTTCTGACTACCAGATGTGCCAACTACTTGTGCACTGGTTTCCATTTTGAAATACCGCTTATTTTTAGAGACTACACGATATGTTTTAAAAATGTGTTTACTGCTCAAATGAGGATCTGAGTGGATGGCATTCTGGGTACCACATACATTCCGGCCGAAATCACTGCATACTGGTGGGAAGCGCAAACGTCTCGCATTTTCAGATTTCTGAACTGAGAGGTCATCTTAGCAGGGGCATGTTTTTAATTAAGGTCTTCATTAGTTAAGACGGTTCTCTTGAAGTCAAATGGTTGATTATGTCACCACTATCACTGCTAAGGCTGCATCCTTCAGAACTATTTATGTTTATCCACAGGTTCTGCTAAAAATGGCATGCAGGGGGAAACAAAAATGAAATATATATGGGGCAGGGGAGGGAAGTAACCAAAGCTTTTCTGGGTGTTACTGTTCATTCCACCGACACTGTGTCCCAAGCCAGGCAGTCCACAGAGACAACAGTGAGCAAGACGGACGGACACAGTGCCCCACAGAGCCCACAGTCGCGCCATGAAGATGTACACCAAACCAACCGTTCGTTATTAAAGAGGTGATCCCTGAAACTAGGTTGGGTCCTATGAAACGGCTTTCCCAATAGGTCAAAAATGATCATCTAAGGGCAATTTCTACATGGTTCAACCTATTAATAATACATATGCACAGTGTTGTGGAAATAAAAATATACATATCAGGGTTTGAGTCCTGCCTCTTTCCTTCTCTGGCTGTGTGATACTGGGAATGTCCTGAAGGTCTCTGTGCCTCAGGAATGGGGACAATGATAGTACCTAACTCATAGGGTTGTTTTTAGGATTAAAAGGGTTAATATATATTAATATACATCTCACTACATCTGAGCATCAGAATTTTCTTCCCAACTTTTCACTTTAAAACATTTTAAAACCCACAGAAATTTTGCAAGAATAGTACCAGGAGCTGCAGCTTTATCTAATGGTTTATCTATTCATCTCTCTATATATATAAGCTTACTATCTCTAGTGTTATTAATATTATTGTTGAACCACTTAAGAATAAGATGCAGGCTGGGCACAGTGGCTCACACCTATAATCCCAGTACTTTGGGTGGCCAAGGTGGGAGAATTGAAGCAAAGTTTGAGACCAGTCTGGGCAGCATAGCAAGACTCCATCCCTACAAAAATAGATCCAGGTGTGGTGGTGTGCACCTGTAGTCCCAGCTACTCCTCAAGAGGCTAAAACAGGAGGATTTTAGTTTAAGCCCAGGAGTTCGAGGTTG